AAGAAGGGAGAGGGAGAGAGAGATAGAAACATCAATGATGAGAAAGAATCATTGATTGGCTGCCTTCTGCATGCCCCCTACTGGGGATTGAGCCCACAAACCAGGCATGTGCTCTTGACCAGAATCTGAGACCCCTCAGTCTGCAGGCCAACACTCTATCCACTGAGCCAAACCGGCTAGGGCATGTAGATATTCTTTATCAAGTTGAGGAAGTTCCCCTCTATTCCTAGCTTACTCAGATTTTCCAGTTGTATCTTTATTGTATAGAATGATTTTCCTAAAACACTACTCTTGTTCCATCTCTGTGGCTTTCAGTGACTTTCATTTGGCTATAGGACCTCTTCGACCTGTCACTCAAACTTTTATTTATGTGTCTCCTACCTCCCTGTTATGAACCTTTTATTCCAACTAGACTAGACATCCTATACACTACACACATGTCCCATCTCCATTCACACCTAGACTTGGGCTGTTACCATATCCATCTTCTCTGTCTTCAAACTGGAAATACCTTTTACTTTCCAATTAAAATACTCTCTAGTTCAGCAGTTGCCAACCGGTGGTCCGCAGACCTCTGGTGGTCCGTGAGGTCCGAAAGGTTGGCGACCGCTGCTCTAGTTCACCTTCTTCTTTGAAATGTTCCCACATCACATAGACTTAGTGATCTCTTGCACTTGTATTAATTTTCCTTGGATGTCTGGTCTCTTCAACTACATTGTGTTTAAAGAAAGCAGAAATTTAGTCTTGCTTCTTTGGCTTCCCTGCAGTGCTCTCTAAACTATAAATGGTTAACATCTTGCAGAATACAGAGCTAATTAGCTTATTCAGCAGTTAAAGGTACAACCAAAATCTTGAACTCTGAAGGTGCTTATGATTTGACCCTCTTCCCTACTGTGTACTGAACACAGGAAATGCAAAAGAATCCATAGTCTTGCAGTGATCATGATAGAGGTCTGCATGGATGATCACTGTGGGAGCACAGAGAAAGGAGCATTAGTTCTAACTTTGAGAGTTAGGATGTCTTAACTGTCCTTGGGCAGTTAAGGCTTAGAAGTTTGTCAAGGGTGAGTATATAGGAAGGCCCACCAGGCAGAGGGAACAGTATATGAAAATCATAGAGGCACTATGCATACTTTTTTGTGGTGTCTGCCCAAGTCTAACAAGACTTGGGTGAGGTGCTGGGACTATAGGTAAACAAGGCAAGGCACTACTCACATGGAATGTGGCAAGTTTGGGGACTTGGAAGTAGTTTTTTATAATTGGAGTGTAGGAGCTTTGGGGGTGAGAATGACAAGGAGACAAGGCTGCAGAAGTAGGCAGGATGCCAGATTTGAAGGATTGAGCTAATGGCAGTTATAGATAGGGTAGAGAGGAGGGGTGGTTTGGATGAATCCAATACTTTTTTAGGAAGTAGAAGTAATAGAACCTTGTGACCAATTAGATGTAGGATTAAGGTGGGAGAGTGGGTAATAATGTCTAGATGGTTGGAAAGATGGTGACACTCTCTAGAATTGGGTTTGGCAAACTTTTCCTTTAAAGTGAAATGCAATAAATATTTTAAGCTTTGCCAGCCATGTGGTCTCTGCCTTAACTACTTAACTTTGCCTTTGTAGTTCAAGAGCAGCCATAGACAGTATGTAAATGAATGTGTGAGGCTATGGTCCAGGGAAATCACTACCCTGAAAAGCAGCTGATGTTTTGTTGTAATTTGCCCTTAGGCTGAGCCCGAGACCCTTCTGAAAAGCACAGCCTGTGCTTCTGCCCAAGAACACCCTCCGTCCACCGACAGCACCTTCTTGGGAAGCATCTTGACAGCAATGGCAGACAAAGGTTAGAGGCCCTGGATATTAGGGGTGGGAAAATTATGACCCTGCTGATATCTTCAGCTGTTAAAGATGCCCACCCACAGACCTCTCCCTGGCTTCTACTACGGCAGATTCTTGACTGGATCACCAGAGGGGCCCTATACCATGGTTGGTTTTTGTTTTAGAGCCAGAATCAGCTCCTGTGGCCTTGCTTGGAAGTGACAAGAGTGCTTTCACCCGAGTTGCATCCATGGTTTCCCCTCAGCCTACAGGTTAGGATGGGCTCCAGGGATCCTGCCTCATTTCTAGATCAAGTAGTGATGATAAAGACTAAAGCAGTGAAAAGTGCTTTGCTCTAAAAACCTCAATTCTACTTGGGCTCATTTTATTTCTGTCTTTTGGGACCTGTGATGTTCTGGACACCAAATCCTATGGGTGGGAACATGGATAAGAGTTGCGGAAATAATGGCTACACACTCCTTCCTTTCAGAGCTAAAGGGCTCTACCTCTATCTAGGACTTTCTCTTTCAGAGACCCCAGGCATGGAGAAGAGCCTGGAAGAAATGAGTACTATGACTCTAGAGCTTCAGAGCCTGTGTTCCCTGCTGCAAGAGTCTAAAGAAGAAGCTGTCAGGACTCTGCAGCGAAAGATGTGAGTGGAGTGCAGTCTTGGTGAGAGAGGTCAGCCCCTTACATCAAGACCCAGCTAGCCCTCGAGAGGACAGGAATAATGCTGAATTCTTCTCTCCCCTAGTTGTGATCTGCAGGCTAGGCTACAGGCCCAAGAAGAACAGCATCAGGAAGCCCAGAAGGCAAAGGAAGCGGACATAGAGAAGCTGAACCAGGCCTTGTGCTTACGCTACAAGGTGAAGGAGGGGCTTAGAAGTGGGGCGATGAAGAACTGGGGCAGCGTACTGGCCCACTGGGAACCACTGTCTCTCCGGGAATCTGGGTGGTGGGAATTTTCCAACCACTGCCCTAGTTTTGCCCTTCCTGGGGTCAGACATTTCACATGTTTGGGAATTAGCTATGGGCTGACCCATCTCCTAGGCCGACCTAGAAGTCAGGAACTCTAGCAGAGCTCTCTCAACACCGAGATGTGCCTTGCCTGACTCAGCCCTAGAGGAAGAAAAGTGTTATCAATTGGTAGCAACCTGGGCTGAGCATGGGTTAGGCACTAAATCCCATCTCCTGGCAAGGGCTACAAAGAAGCCAGCTCTCTCAGTGCCTTCTTACCTCCCTTCCCTTCACAGAATGAAAAGGAGCTCCAGGAAGTGATACAGCAGCAGAACGAGAAGATTTTAGAACAGATAGACAAGAGTGGCGAGCTCATAGTACGTTCATCATGATGCCCGACCCTCTGCCTTCTGTGCCCCTGGTAGCCAGGATCCCAAATGTGGGAATTGGATCCCCTGGTCTACCTTGTTCACAGCATGGGATAGGAATGATGGAGAGGACCTTTGAGGGCTACTGTGTACCTCTCCATTCTCATCCCCAGAGCCTTAGAGAGGAGGTGACCCAGCTTACCCGCTCACTTCGGCGTGCGGAGACAGAGACTAAGGTGCTCCAAGAGACTCTGGCAGGCCAGCTGGACCCCAACTGTCAGCCCATGGCCACAAACTGGATCCAGGAGAAAGTGTGGCTCTCCCAGGAGGTGACTTAGAGTTAACAGAGGAGCTGGGCAGCTGGTGGAAACCCTAGGCTGTGCCCCTACTGATCTGGACATACCTATAGGTGGACAAACTGAGGGTGATGTTCCTGGAGATGAAAAATGAGAAGGAAAAACTCATGGTCAAGTTCCAGAGCCATGTAAGAATTCCCATGCCACTGGGGGTCCATTTCTCACCACACCCAGCAAGAGCCCTGCCATATTCTCCTTGCCCCACAAGCTATGCTGTTCTTTTAAGCATAGGACTTAGGCAACTTATTTGCTTTCTAGAGAAACATCCTGGAGGAGAATCTTCGGCGCTCTGACAAGGAGTTAAAGAAACTTGATGACATTGTTCAGCATATTTATGAGGTAGAGGGAGGGAGTTGAACTAATGCAATGTTGCAGGCTTCTCTGTGGCTTTTGTTTTCTCCCCACTAACTCAGTGGGTGCTTCCTGGGGCTATGACTCTGAGCTGCCTATTCTGTGTCTCTTCCCAGACTCTGCTGTCCATCCCAGAGGTCGTGAGGGGTTGCAAGGAGCTACAGGAATTGCTGGAATTTCTGAGCTAAGAAACTAAAAGCTGGAGTCTGTTTCACCCCTCTCTACCTGCAATACTCCCCTGCCCCAACACCAGGACCAACTGGCATAGAGCCAGCTAGGTTTAATGCTATGTAAATAAAGTGTATTTAATGTATTTCTGCAAGCTCACTGAATCTTGTTTCTTGGGTGAGGGGGGTGGATAAAGTCAGGGGAGAAGCAGCTTGGCACTCCTGCCTGGGCACCCTCCACTCACCCCTTCTGCTGCATCCAGGGCCAAAACCAGCTGCCCCTCCTCCCTTCTCTGGCTTCCCCAAATATGCTGGGCACTGACTGGACTGCTTGTTCCCTGGCTCACAGCTTGGGGGTGGGGATGGGGTAGACAAGGCTTCATTCTCCAGCAGGCCCTTCTGAATAAGGGGATGAGGACAGAGAAATTCTGCCCTGGATTCCCACACTTTGTTGGTGCCTCTGCCCTGCTACCTGTTGTGACCGGTTAGGTGACTCCTTCATTAGACCAGGCTTCATCCCCAACATCCAGTAAGGTGCCCAGCACATGGTAAAGGCAATTGTGACAGAAATGAGGGCAGGCCATTTCCTGCCTCTGGGGCCCTGATGGCAGGGCTCCACGAGGTGGGAGGGGGACAGTCCACAACAGCCTCCGAGGTCCTGGCAGGGTAGTCACTCCACCTCGTTGCCCCGCCTCTGTGGGCGTGGCCTTGCCAGGACACCAGTCCTAGGGAGGGGCGTGGCCCGGGCGGGGAGGTGATGGCCCCGCCCCCCGGGGAGTCACGTAGCTCTGCGGCATCCTCAGCCTCATTTACAGGAGCCAGGGCTGAAGCCACAGCTGTTTCAGACCTGAACCCAGGCTGTTCTGTGCTGCCGCCACTTAACTCGCTGCTCACAGGTGAGGCCCGGGTGAGGCGGGAACTGCTCAGCGTCTCAGCTTCCTCTTCCTGACTCTTGCCCCTGCCATCTTTGCCCTGCTCCCTGTGCCCTTGGATGTGCCATCTCAGCTCTCTCCTTCAATCTCTCTCCTTCCTGTCCACTCTAAACCCCATGGTTCAGACCTCCCACAACACCCTTTCCTTGAAGCGCTCATGCTGGAACCTCAGCTTTTCCAATCCCAAATCTTCTTCTGCCTTCTGGGGTTTTTTCTTGGGGTCAGCCTCTTCCACCAAGACCACTTTAATCTCATCTGCTCCCTCTCCTCGGCTAAATTCCCTCTACAGTTCTTTTGCTTTCTCTGTTCCTCTGATCTAGGTCCTTCCTCCTGACTAGTTCGCCTGTCTCACTATCAGCACCCAACAAATCTCCTGCCTTCTCCTCCTGCATCTCTCCCTCCCTTTCTCAGCCTCTCTACTCATTCCTTTCTATCTCAACCCTCTGCTCCCATCTCCTAACTGCAGAGACAACAGGTTTGGGGTATGAAAACTGGTTAGAGAAGCCTGCCATTCCTACTCCCTACCTGCCCCCCTCCTCCCAACCTTTTCCTCCACAAGCCCGGGAAAGAAGGGTGATGTGTCCTTTTGCCTCATTGTGATGGCTTGGAAGTAAGTGCACTTTCCCTAGGGCCCTGCTGAGGATGAGAAAAGGGAAGTTGGAAAGGTCAGGGCTTATACCTACCTGAGGAAGGGGCCAAATTCAACGAAAGAAGGATTGGCATTTTCATTTGGGCAGTAGTTTCATAAGAAGACCTGTAGCTTGAGGGCTGCTTAACTCCCCACCCCCACCCTGCATCTTTCTCCTGGCCTGGGAAGGGTGCCCATCAGAGACAAAAGGAGATGTGGGAACTGGGTCCCCAAGCCTGTTAGCTGTCAGATAAATTGGTGCCACTTTGATGCCCAGGACCCATGCCAAGGACTGCTACTCTGTTCCCAGCCCGGTGCTTACTGGGGAGCAGCGGGGAGGGCCATTTGGCCCATATGACCAGGAAAGGAAGCAGAGGAGATAGTGGGTGGGGTCCATCTTTTATATCTTGTCTCCATTCCACAGAGCTGTCACCATGCCCCATTCATATCCAGCCCTTTCTGCTGAGCAGAAAAAGGAGTTGTCTGACATTGCCCTCCGGATTGTGGCCCCAGGCAAAGGCATCCTGGCTGCAGATGAGTCTGTAGGTAGGTGGGGGCCTATGGTTGGTCAGGGTAGAGGTGGCCAGGAAGCCCTGGGAATGACCTTGTCACCCCTCTTCGTTTGCCCCCAGGCAGCATGGCCAAGCGGCTGAGCCAAATCGGGGTGGAGAACACAGAGGAGAACCGCCGTTTGTACCGCCAGGTCCTGTTCAGCGCCGATGACCGAGTGAAGAAGTGCATTGGCGGTGTCATCTTCTTTCATGAGACACTTTACCAGAAAGATGATAATGGTGTCCCCTTCGTCCGTACCATCCAGGACAAGGGCATTGTCGTTGGCATCAAGGTGCAGCCACTAGCCCTGGATGGGGACTGAGCATGGAAATAGGTGTGTGTGTGTATGTGAGGGGTGTCAAGGGGAATCCTGCCTGGGTTCAGCCTTCTGCCTTTGTTTTCCCTTCAGGTTGACAAAGGTGTAGTCCCTCTAGCCGGGACTGATGGAGAAACTACCACTCAAGGTACAGGATGGGTGGGCTTTAGGACTACAGGGTTGGTGGGTGGTTGATGCTGGCAAAAAGGGGCAGAGTGATGAGACCAGCACTATGCCCACAGGGCTGGATGGGCTCTCAGAACGCTGTGCCCAATATAAGAAGGATGGCGCCGACTTTGCCAAGTGGCGCTGTGTGCTGAAAATCAGTGAACGCACGCCCTCAGCACTTGCCATTCTGGAGAATGCCAATGTGCTGGCCCGCTATGCCAGCATCTGCCAGCAGGTGTGTGTATGCATGCGTGAGGGGTTCAGAGGGGTGCCCTGTGCCTGGTGGAGAGAGAACTTTCTCCCATTCTACTACCGCCCCTACCAAGCTACTCTTCTCTTACCTGCAGAATGGCATTGTGCCTATTGTGGAACCTGAAATCCTGCCTGATGGAGACCATGACCTCAAACGTTGCCAGTATGTCACTGAGAAGGTGAGTCCACACCTGGGCACAGACACATACCACAGGGACAGCCTGGCAGGGAGCTTGTTCCCAGTTCCTGATTCAGAGGCAGGCACTTTCCCCAAGCACTTTTATTTTGTTTTATCCTAGAACAGACCTGTGAGTCTGAGCCTGTACTGACCCTCACAGTCATGCCCACCCACCTCTAGACAGAGAGCAGAGAGCAGTTAAGTGGCCGGGAGCAGACCTTAGTAAACCTCCTCTGATCCTCAGGTCCTGGCTGCTGTGTATAAGGCTCTGAGTGACCATCATGTGTACCTGGAAGGGACCCTGCTGAAGCCCAACATGGTGACCCCTGGCCATGCCTGTCCTATCAAGTATAGCCCAGAGGAGGTTGCCATGGCAACTGTCACTGCCCTGCGTCGCACTGTGCCTCCAGCTGTCCCAGGTACCACCCCACTTCCTACCTTACTCCTATCCTTAGACTGATCCTCAGGTTCTTCTTGTGGCCTTCAGGGGTCCCTAACCCTGGAAAAACAGGGAGTGACTGATCAGTTTGTCTTCTCTTTCTCTCTCTAGGAGTGACCTTCCTGTCTGGGGGTCAGAGTGAAGAGGAGGCATCGCTCAACCTCAATGCTATCAACCGCTGCCCGCTTCCGCGGCCCTGGGCCCTCACCTTCTCCTATGGGCGTGCTCTGCAGGCCTCTGCACTCAATGCCTGGCGAGGGCAACGGGACAATGCTGGGGCTGCCACTGAGGAGTTCATCAAGCGGGCTGAGGTTGGGAGCTAGGGGTGGTGGTTGGTTTGGGGGTAGTGGTGTGTAGCTAGGCAGGGGGTAGCACCCAGAGACTACAGCCTTTGGCACCTGTGGGCTGGCTCAGTCAGCTTACTCCTTACCTCCTCTCACTTTTGCAGGTGAATGGGCTTGCAGCCCAGGGCAAGTATGAAGGCAGTGGAGACGATGGAGGAGCGGCAGCACAGTCCCTCTACGTTGCAAACCATGCCTACTGAGTACTCCATTCCACAGCTCTTGGCCCAGCCACCCAATTTTGCCTGTAGTTATAGCCAGGGCCAAATAGCTTTGCAGAGCAAAGATGCCTCCATCCAGCACTGAGTCATCTTCCTTTTTTCTCCTCCCCTTCCCTCTCCCATTGCTGCACCTGGGACCACTAGATGGGAAGATAGGGAGCCCCTCATGGCTGAGGGCAGGAGAACTTGCTGGAAGTCAGAGCAGGATGCCCGGGTCTCCCCTTGCCTTTGCCAGCTACTCTTCCCCTTGATGGGGTAGCTTCTCCTTGGGCTCTCCTTGCCTGCCCTTTCTCCTGGGATCAGAGGGTAGGACGCCGGACCTGACTTACGCTTTGGGTACATACCACATAGCAAATAAATGATAGCATAACATGCTACTTTGTCTGTCTGTTTTACACATCAAATCCCCACCTCTCAGTTTCTGATCTCTGCTGACTCTATCTGTGGGCCCTCTGGCTGTGGAGGTGGAGAGGATGGGTTTTGATTCTCTGGGTTTTAAGTTTATGGGGGAGAGGTACACCCAATGACCATTCCCATCTCAGGCTCCTGCCTGTTGCTCTCCAAGGCTAGAGCATGGCAATACAGAGGGCTACAAATCTCTCAGGAACTACCATATCAGAAGCACAAGGCTACAGCTGTAGCAGGACGGGGTGTTGCAGGACCTGAGCAATTCCTGAAGGCAGCTTTTGTGCAAGGCCCCAAACTGGGACAGGAAGGGATGGGAGTCTCTCACTTCTCAGCTGTGTTGAGCCCTGCCAGGACTTGACACATTCTGCTAGGGAGAGCCACTGCAGGAGGAGCATCTGGGCTCCTGCCCAACAAGGGAAAACCCCAAGACTTGGGAATGCCAGACTGAGAATGGTATCTAGGAGGTTGCCCAGGGCTATTGTCCACTCCCATTTGGGATAGATGGGGGCACAGAGGGGACCAATTGGAGTGTCTGGGCAAGGGCAGACCTGTGAGTTCTCATGATGAACTTTGACCACTTGGCTGGGATGTGGGGGTAGGTCAAACACCTAGGTCTATCTGAGCAGATAAAAAGATGAAAGGAGCTGCTGGATGTGTTCTGTGTGAACTGGGGAGGCCATACTATGTGTAAAGCGCACAACCAATGCTACATATC